AATGAAGGACTGGTGGTGGTGGGGACACAGAATGAAGGACTGGTGGTGGTGGGGCGTACAGACTGAAGGACTTGTGGGAGGAACACAGACTGAGGAACTAGTGGGGGGACACAGACCAAAGGGTTGGAGGAACACAGACAACAGCACTGGAGGGCTGGCACAGAGACCACAGGACTAGGAGGTATAGAAACTGTAGGACTGGGTAAGAACCACAGATCCCTGCAGGACTGAGAGGTAAAGAATGCCTCATGGCTGGGGGGACAGGAGACCACAGGACTGGAGAGGGGAACAAAGACCGCAAGATTGGGGGGGGGGGGGGGGTCTGTGCCGAAACCACAGGATTGGGGGAAACAGGGACTGCAGTACTGAAAGGGACTGCCATTGTGCTATATGCTGGGTGTCCAGGGGTGGGCTCCCTCCAGGCTTACCTGCCTCCAATCTATCCATTATGATACAGTATATGTCCTTCTACTAAGGAGGATCTCACAATGTACAGAGTTAAGAACCGCAGAATATCAGGGGGCCATGAAGGGACTCTGCAGCTTACACATGTGTCTGCAAATGTGTGCAAACTAAACCCCCGTATTTAACGTTAACTGTTCGCCAGGACAATTCATTTGGTTGCAGGCTGGCCGGAACGTTGAGCTGAGAATCAGATCCCTGCTGGACTGAGAGGTGCAGAGAGTGAAGGACTTGGGGGGAACAGAGACCACATGACTAGGGGGACCAGAGACCACGTGACTGGGGGGACCAGAGACCACATGACTGGAGGGATCAGAGACCACATGACTGGGGGGACCAGAGACCACATGACTGGGGGGACCAGAGACCACATGACTGGGGGGACCAGAGACCACATGACTGGGGGACCAGAGACCACATGACTGGGGGGACCAGAGACCACATGACTGGGGGGACCAGAGACCACATGACTGGGGGGACCAGAGACCACATGACTTGGGGGGACCAGAGACCACATGACTGGGGGGACCAGAGACCACATGACTGGGGGGACCAGAGACCACATGACTGGAGGGAAGTCCCCCGCCCCCGGACTTCTCCATCATGACCTACAACGCCACCATCAGTCCCACCCCGCAAGCCAGAGTACTAGGTGTCACTCTAGACTCCAATCTGTCTTTCCAGCCCCAGGTCCAATCGCTGACAAACTCATGTAGACTCCACCTCCGCAACATCTCCAAAATACATCCATTCCTAACTCCAGAGACTACAAAGCAACTCATTCACTCCCTCATCATTTCGCGCCTTGACTACTGTAACTCCCTCCTCACCGGCTTACCTCACCGCAGGCTATCCCTGCTTCAGTCTATTCTGAACTCAGCGGCCAGACTCATCCACCTCACCAACTGCTCCACATCTGCCACCCCCCCTCTGCCAATCCCTCCACTGGCCTCCATTCAGTGTCCTCCACCCCTCTCTGCCAATCCCTCCACTGGCCTCCATTCAGTGTCCTCCACCCCTCTCTGCCAATCCCTCCACTTCCCTCCATTCAGTGTCCTCCACCCCTCTCTGCCAATCCCTCCACTGGCCTCCATTCAGTATCCTCCACCCCCCTCTGCCAATCTCTCCACTGGCCTCCACTCAGTGTCCTCCACCCCTCTCTGCCAATCCCTCCACTGCCCTCCATTCAGTGTCCTCCACCCCTCTCTGCCAATCCCTCCACTGCCCTCCATTCAGTGTCCTCCACCCCCCTCTGCCAATCCCTCCACTGGCCTCCATTCAGTGTCCTCCACCCCTCTCTGCCAAACCCTCCACTGCCCTCCATTCAGTGTCCTCCACCCCTCTCTGCCAATCCCTCCACTGCCCTCCATTCAGTGTCCTCCACCCCCCTCTGCCAATCCCTCCACTGGCCTCCATTCAGTGTCCTCCACCCCTCTCTGTCAATCCCTCCACTGGCTTCCAATTGCCCAACGCATAAAATTCAAAATGCTAACATTGACGTACAAAGCTATTCATGACACTGCCCCAAACTACATCACCGACCTGATATCCAAATACCACCCAAAACGCACTCTCCGCTCCTCACAAGACCTCCTACTCTCTAGTTCCCTGGTCTCCTCCTCCCATGCCCATCTCCAGGACTTCTCCAGGGCTTTCCCATCCTCTGGAACTCACTACCCCAATCCATCAGACTGTCACCTACCCTCCTCACCTTTAGGCGCACCCTGAAAACCCACCTCTTTAGGGAAGCGTACCCCGCCCTCACCTGATTGCCGATCTCCTCCACTCTTCCTACCACTTCATCCCCCACAGCTATTTCCTCCTGTACCACTATCCCCTCCCTCCTAGATTGTAAGCTCCAAGGAGCAGAGCCCTCGAACCCCTCGTGTATTGTATTGTTGCTGTATTGTCTCCCATTATAATGTACAGCGCTGAGCAAACTGTTGGCGCTATATAAATCCTGTATAATAATAATAATAATAACTAGAAAAGTTACAATTTCTGGGGAAATTGTGTGAAGTGTTCTTGCCTCCACCAGTAGTCTACAACTGGAGTGGGCGGAGTAACCGGGCTAGATTTTGTCACTCTGCTGCCTGCTCACACACCTGGGTTCCTATGGCAACTCACTCTACAGCAAGGGCAGAGAAGAGCAGTTAAAAACAAACTGCTCCAACTTGCTCACTTCACTGGCGGTTGCCATCTTCAAACGGTTGTAGTTTAAAAATTATAAATCCTACACCAAAGAGCTTTATATTGCGAGAATCACAAGACCCAGACCTACATTTTATGCATAGTATGTCTTTGAAATATAACAATTGAAGGGACAGTCGCAGTTTAGAAATTGCCCTACAAATTTGAGGTGGCTGGAGTGGAGTTTCAATGAATGTCAATGGGCGGTGTGATTTGCAAACAAATGGTCATATTGTGAAAACTATCAGGACTATGGCTTAGCCGTGGACATTTTTAGTGGCAGCAGGGATAGCTGAACGTTTTGATATAAGATTTGTGTAGGTGGGCTTGAAAATGAGGGAGTGATGGCAGTTTAGAAATCATGTCCTGATTTTTCAGCTCACACTCTAGTTTTGAACATTCCGCCATTCATTCCTATGGGACCAATTTCACCAGAAAAATGGCGATATTTCGTGAACCATTCGGCGAAACGTTCCACCAAGTAATAGCACACCAATCGGGAACAATCCGCACGTTTCGGTTTATTACTGTCTATGTAGTGTAAAAACTGTGGGAGGAGTTAGGGTGGTAAATTTGGCTATAATAATAAGAATATATATGTGGGATAACAGTAAGTGGTCTTGCCATGCAGGAACACTTAATAATCCCCACTTGTCTGAGAGGTACTCGCTGAGATGTTTCTCGGGGCTGCAGTTCCTCTGTGCTCCACAAGGTGGTGATCCCACTTCTACCCAGACAGGAAGTCTCTATGGATGAAAGGAAGTGATGTCAGGGACAGACAAGAAGTGATGTCAGGTTTAAATGGGAAGTGGGGGGGGGGGGGGGGGGTGAGAGGTGAGTCAGGAGGAAGTAGAGAGGAGACATTGCTGGAAGTGGCAGCAGAGGAGGTAATAAGATCTGATTTTATATTTATATCCAGTAACCCCCCCTCATGTTCGTCCTCTTCCTCCACCGTCACGCCCGTGCTCTTCCTCCATCATCACCCCCTGTGCTCTTCCTCCACCGTCACGCCCGTCCCCTCCTCCATTGTCACATACATCCTATTCCTCCATTGTAATTCCCATCCTCCACCTCCACCGTCACGCCCGTGCTCTTCCTCCACCGTCACGCCCGTGCTCTTCCTCCACCGTCACGCCCGTGCTCTTCCTCCACCGTCAGGCCCGTGCTCTTCCTCCACCGTCACGTCCGTCCTTTTCCTCCATCGTAATTCCTGTCCTCTTCCTCCACCGTCAGGCCCGTCCTCTTCCTCCACCGTCATGTCCGTCCGCAGATGATGATACACACATATATAGTGTGGGGACCCAGATTAACTCCTTCAGGGGGGTAGAACATTCCCCCACTTCCGGGGCCGGAACATTCTCCTCCTTGTGGAGGTGTCACCTTTCCCACCAATTACCTTCTCACCTCCTCAGTCTATACTGATGGATTATACCACTTTTATTTCTAATGGCGTATGTAGACAGAGAATATTTATTGGCTTTCTTTGTTGGTGGATCCAGAACTACGGACCTTACATAGAAAAAAGCCCATCGAGCTAAAACTAATATATTGACTCCTGGATCACAATGCACAGCAAACCCTAAACTGAATGTTCCTCTGTGTGTAATCCCACTGGGGGGCCGTTCTTACATGATAGAGACCCTCATATTATCCCCCCTCCCCCCCATCCTAATATTGTACAACCAGTACAGTCCAGATCATTCTCTGTTATCAATTATTGGTCTACAGGAAACCTGTATAGATCACATGACCAATGAAGATGGAGGAGGACCGAAGTCACATGACTGAGAGGATACTAAACCTCACCCTGGAGATCATCTATCTGCTGACCGGAGAGGTGAGGAGGATTCTGGGAGGTCACATGACATCAATCTCATCTCTATTAATAAAACACAGACCTGACCGGAGAGGTGAGGAGGATTCTGGGAGGTCACATGACATCAATCTCATCTCTCTTAATAAAACACAGACCTGACCAGAGAGGTGAGGAGGATTCTGGGAGTCTAACATGATGTTCCTATTGGTTCCCTAATACAGAGATTTCCTCTTCTGAAGTCAGGTGATTATATGACCATCACAGTGCCTCCATGTGACTCCCTAAACCCTGAGAGACCCAACATGGAGAAGATTCTAGAAGTCACCAAGAAGATGATGGAGCTGCTGACAGGAGAGGTGAGCGGTGCCGGGAATTCTGGGACATTCTCCAGTAACAGACAAGGGATGTGTCTGGATGGTGACTGTATCATTGTGTGTGTCAGGTTCCTATAAGGTGTCAGGGTGTCACTGTCTATTTCTCCATGGAGGAGTGGGAGTATTTAGAAGGACACAAGGACCTCTACAAGGACGTCATGATGGACAATCAGCCGCCCCTCACATCACTGGGTAAGAGGAGACTTTATTGGAAAGAAGAGAGCAGTACGGAGGGTCCACCTAGATCCCCCATCATCTGATAAACACATAGAAACAATGGATTCAGTCAGTGTGTGTGTTTCCTACAGATGGATCCAGTCATGGGAACCCACCAAAGAGATGTCCCCGTCCTGTATTCCCGGGATTCCACACAGGAAGGTCACACCATCCCTCACCATCATCAGGTAGATGAATCCAGTCATGGGAACCCACCAGAGAGATGTCCCCGTCCTCTGTATTCCCGGGATTCCACACAGAAAGGTCACACCATCCCTCACTATTACAAGGTTGGTGGGACAGAGAGTCTAGAACATGGACTCATGGAGACAATGTGCGGATTTTCTATGTGATGTCACAATAATAAATCTTCTATCTTACAGATGATATTTTCTCTCCTTCTCTTGATGTAGAGTGGAGATCCAATCGATATAGAATTTGAGGTGAAATCAGAAGAAGAAGAGGCGTATGTGAGGGATGATCAGCAGTCTATGGAGGAGGATGGAATAACGGGGACATTTATAGAGGAGGACACTCCTACAGAGATCAGCACAGGTGGGTCATGAACACTAAATCCATTCCTCCACCCATACTGCTGGCACAAAATTGTTTCATTATTTTTTTTACAGAAGCTAAAATAGTGTCTTCATACTTGATGTAAAATAATGTTCTTGTAATCCATTGAGGAACACAGGAACCCTTAAATCTTTGGTTTATCTTGCCCCATCCCCCTACAGGAAGTTTCATCGTTGGCAATTAAAAAGCTTACAGGCCAGCCCAGGATGACCACTACCAGCATGCCTCAGTTTTGTAGCAATGCAATACCCAAAGTATAATCCTAAACACGGAGGGGAGGGACCCGTGTCCCCCAATAGAAAAGGATTTTAACGGGTGTACAAAAATCTTGTTTTCATACTCGCCTCTTGAGGGACGCAGGAAGTTTTCGACCTTCAGGAAGTCCAATAGCAGTGCAGCCGAGGGATGAGAAACACGGCAAACAAATGCTAGCAGGGCCAAGAAAGAAGCAAGACGGAACTGAAAACTGCCTGCAGCTCAAAGAGCGGCCTTAAATACCTCTACTTGTATTTGGCTTTGGGTGAGGCTACAACATCCACCTGGTAGAACTTGGAGAACATGGGAGCAGAAATCCAACTTGTAAATCTTGGAAATAGCTTCTCGATGCCATAAAGTCCAAGAAGCGCTTCTAGATCCAGCAGAGTGCGCCTGGACAGTTAAAGATGGAACCCAATCCTTGAGTATATAGGCTTGGATGATGGTCTGCCTGAGACAACTAAAGATGGTGGAACTGGAGACCCGATGTGCAGAGTTTTCCTGAAAGAAGCAGTGGCCGAGATTCAGACACTCACAGCTCAAAACAAATTCAGACGAGGGTCAATTTGTTTATGAACTGGTGCTGGAGAGATGGACAGAAGAACAATATCCAGGTTGGGATGAAAGGCAGAAACTACTTCAGGCATGAAGGAACTCCTGGGCTTCAGCACCATAGGTTCCTTGCAAGATGAAGCCAGCAGTTCTGACATCCCCCACCCCTCCCAGCAGAGGCGATGGCCTACAACGAAAAAACCACCTTGTAGATGAGAATAGGGAGAGGAATGTATCTATTGGGTTCAAATGATGGATTCTCAAGTGCCAAGTTCAGATCCCAAAAAATCACTGAGAAAAGGGGGGTGGCAGCTACATGGAAGACCCTCTGTACGAATGTCTTAATCAGCGAGTGAGAGGCCAACGGGCAAAGAAACAGAGAATAAAGGGCAGAACCTTGACCCCTGATAGTGTTCAGTCAGACGCTGGTCCAGACCCAGCTTTAGAAAAGTGAGAATCCATCCTATGGAGAAACTCCTGGCATTGTAGAGATCAGATGTCCCTGTCCCTCAGAATCTGGGTTTAACAGCCAGAGTTGGGAGAAGATCAAGACCTGCCAGAAAGAACAGAGCCACAAAATGGAAGAAAAAGCTGAAAAAAATCCTCCTGCGCTGATATGGAAATAAACCCTACTTAATAGCAGTCAACACCCTATAGTAATAACCAATCAACCAAATAAAAAGTACTATAGTAAATGGTGCAGCGCTAACTAATACAAATAACTAAACATATATAATATATTAAAATAATAAAGTGCTATAAATGTGATAACACAAATAAAAGTGAACAACACTGGTGTAAGGGTCACCTTGATGACCTAAATTGGTGATAAACACACAGAATATCCAATAAATAAACTCGTGTTAAGTGTCCTTATTCATTCTCAAAAAAACCTATAAACCAAACACTTCTAAGTCCATAAATCACACCCCTAAGAAGTCACGAGACCACGTGACATAACGCGTAGGTACGCCGACACGCAGTTTCCGATACGAGTGACGCACTTCCGGTGGAGGACGCCTCCTTAGCACACCTAGTACACCCAGGAAATACCACATGGATGCAGCATACCCACACACAGCAGGAGGAAGGGACTGCATGTTCATGTGAGTGTACTTCTTTAATTTTTAATAAAAAGACTGCATTATGTACTACACTATGGAGGATCTTTTTTATTACTCACTGGTATTGTGAGTAATACACCCCACAGAGCACCTGATTAAGGGCAGAGGAGGAAGTATTGGAGGAGGAACAGGAGATCGTTTATAATCCTTGGCTTTCTGGAGAGTGATCAGCTGGTGATGTAAAGGATCCAGAGTGATCTGAATGCTTGTTTGGCCCTTTGGGGTCAAGTATAGGAGGTGAGGAGGCACTGCAGCTGGAGTGGATTTAAAGTGTGCTGGCACTTACACGAAGCTATCACTTATCACATATTGCATGGTTTTGAGAACACTAAATATTTGTGATTTGTGGACTTATAAGTGTTTGGTTTATAGGTTTTTTTGAGTACGAATAAGGACACTTAACACGAGTTTATTTATTGGATATTCTGTGTGTTTATCACCAATTTAGGTCATCAAGGTGACCCTTACTCCAGTGTTGTTCACTTTTATTTGTGTTATCACATTTATAGCACTTTATTATTTTAATATATTATATGTTTAGTTATTTGTATTAGTTAGCGCTGCACCATTTACTATAGAGCTACAAAATGGACTTCTAACTGCTTCCTAGTTTGGACCTTACAAGTGCATCCTCTTGCTGGAATGGTAAGTGTCATGTTAAGGAAGGACTCTGCCAGATCCTACAAAACCTTTGCTGAACAGATCCAAGGCTCAGAAGTATCACCCGACAGATTGAGGACTCCGAGCATGGAACAGATTCTGACTCTAGAGAATACCATGATTTCAGGTTGGGGACCTCAGAGCTGTCAGAAGAAGACAAGCAAGGGAGGGCTGAGGGCACCTGGTAAAGCAAGATGGTCCCCCATGTCAAGATTTAGACATGGATGAGGCAACGTATAGGCTCAGGGCAAAAGACAAGGTGAACCCAGACAGCTTGTAGGACATGACCGGAGGTCATCAAAGTCACGGTAGGTGGGCTGCAGGAACAGATCGAGCTCCACATGACTCTTTTCAAGCAGGAGCAGCAGCTTTCTCCGTACTGTATGGCAGAAAAGAGATCATGAGCACATATTACTCTTGCGGATGATATCAGCACTTAGTTCCCTCAGAATTACTCCTTCTATGGCCAAAACTAGTGAGAACGAGGTGCCCAGCAATCTAAATAGTTCAGGTAACTCCCACCAGACCCACTGACCGAGCCTTCAGAGAAAGGGCAAAGGCTAAGGCAACGCCAAGGGCTAGAAACCTGGAAAGCAATCCGCAGAGAACTCCATAGAACCCAATGCTTGAAGATGATTTCCAGGCCAGCCATGTCCAGTCCAGGGTGGCCTGTAAGCGGTACTCCAAAGGCCAGGCTGAGGATGACCATGCAGGAAACTGCAAATCTAGAAATGAGAAGTCTCCAATGAGAGAAGATAAGAGGTGCAGAGCTTTATATAGGACACTAGTAGAAGACCTGAGGCATGCTGGTAGTGGGAGGAGTTATCCTAGGATGGCCATAGTGGGAGGAGTTATCTTAGGATGGCCTACAGATTCTTTGCTTGCCAGTGTTCAATTCTCCTGTAGGCGGCTGTATAACCCTTAGGTGAAAGACTTCCTGTATCTCTCGGAGAAATGAAAATATGTATTCCACCTTTACTAGTTTCTTCCATTTCCATAAAGTAAACCTGCGATCTACTTTTTTATTTCTCTTTTAATTGCCAATAATGATTGTGGAGATATTTTTTTTTTCTGCTGTCCGGAAATGATCGGGTCATTACTTTCCATACTCCTGACCCTTGTGCTCCATACGTTACAGTGAGGAACATAAGTATTTGAACACCTGAGAAAATCAGTGTTAATATTTGGTACAGAAGTCTTTGTTTGTAATTACAGAGATCAAACGTTTCCTGTAGTTCTTGACCAGGTTTGCACACACTGCAACAGGGATTTTGGCCCACTCCTTCACACAGATCTCCTCTAGATCTGTCAGGTTTCGGAGCTGTCGCTGAGCAACACAGAGTTTCAGCTCCCTCCAAAGATGTTCTATTGGATTTAGGTCTGGAGACTGGCTAGGCCACTCCAGAACCTTGATATGCTTCTTACGGAGCCACTCCTTCGTTATCCTGGCTGTGTGCTTCGGGTCGTTGTCATGTTGGAAGACCCAGCCACGACCCATCTTCAATGCTCTGACTGAGGGAAGGAGGTTGTTGCTCAAAATCTCACAATAAATGGCCACATTCATCCTCTCCTTAATACAGTGCAGTCGTCCTGTCCCCTTCACAGAAAAGCACCCCCAAAGTATGATGTTACCACCCCCATGCTTCACAGTAGGGATGGTGTTCTTGGGATGCAACTCATCCTTCTTTTTCCTCCAAACACGATGAGTGAAGTTTAGACCAAAAAGTTCTTCTTTGGTCTCATCTGACCACATGACTTTCGCCCATGCCTCCTCTGGATCATCCAGATGGTCATTGGCAGACTTCAGACGGGCCTGGACATGTGATGACTTGAGCAGGGGAACCTTCCGTACAATGCATGATCTGAAACCATGACGGCGTAGTGTTCTACCGACAGTGACCTTTGGAACTGTGGTCCCAGCTCGCTTCATGTCATTGACCAGCTCCTCCCTTGTAGTTCTGGGCTGATTCCTCACCTTTCTTTTCATCAGTGATACCCCACGAGGTGAGATCTGGCATGGAGCCCAGTCCGAGGGAGACTGACAGTCATCTTTAGCCTCTTCCAATTTTCTAACAATTGCTCCAACAGTTGATCTATTTTCACCAAGCTGCTTGGCAATTGCCCTGTAGCCCTTTCCAGCCTTGTGGAGGTCCACAATTTTGTCTCTGGTGTCTTTTGACAGCTCTT